GATAAAACAATATTATAGCTAAGGCCACAACTGTCGACATGCTCCGTTGACACGACGAGCATAACGTACAGACCAAAAGTGCGTGCCCCGATACAAGAGTTGCATACCAAAATGAATCAAGGTAAACTTTTTCTCTAGAGCGAACAAACCTTTTCCCCGACAACAGTCCCTCGACCGAGCCCACCATCGCCAACGTACCATGAAAGGCAGAACACCCAACTCGCAATGGGAAGTTCACGCTGTGAACTCAGGCCACAAACGCGACCTGAGCTCCGCTCTCATGCCCAGAAACGACCCAGTCCTTTCGACCAGTTCCCCTCATTGTCGAACATCACTTTGTCGAGCGAACCCCAAAACATAATGAAATTGTTCACTATAATAGCCCATACAACGGACACAAGTAACGAACAACGTGCGACACTTAGCGAATTTAAGCAAAGTAAGGGCATGCACCAAAAGCAAATCATACACAACCAACCACCACGGTCGAGAATAAATATTATCATATAAAATTTCCACGAGGATCGTAATTGTGCTGATTACAATAAAAGGGGCCAACTCCCATCCAAAAAGATTAAATTACAAAGAAACGACACGCAGACCAGAAATACAACAAAGAGAAAATCAGTCGACTATAGGCTGAGGCTCCTCGCGGCCAGGCTGCGCCTGCTCCTTGCTGAATCTGAGGAATTCTGGGACTATGATCTGGCTGTTTACCATGTTGTAGAGGAATTTGGCCCCCTCGGTAGACAACTCGACCCTAGGGTTCACAATCCTCAGTTGTCCCTCAGTATTGTTGAAAGCATCCTCGACGATCCCTACGCAATCCTCCTTAGCCTGGATGATACGGGCAACAAGCTCAACTCGAGTCTTTAGACTCTTCACCTCATCACTTTCATCCTCAGCAAGAGCAGCAGTAATGCTCAACGAACTAATCAAGTCCTCCGCGAATTTCTTCTCTGCGGCCAAAGTATCCCTTCCTCGGTGACCTTGGCCAGCTCACCCTTATATTTCTTCGCCGCCTCCTCGGTAGCCTTTCCCAGTTCCTCTTTAGACTTCTTCACTGCCTCCTCCACAACCTTCAGTTTTTCTTCCAGAACAATGTTTGCAGCCTGTGCCTTATTCAACTTCACTTCTTGGAGGCCCCCCTCCTTGGTGTAGACCACTTCCATGCCTAAGACCCTCATCAAAGCAGCGGCGTCCTCGGCCAGCATCATCCTCTTGTTCGAATGTCCAACTCCTCGAGGTACAAGGACTCTGCCCAATGGAGTGCGAGGGAGGAGCCTTCAAAGAAACTCCTATTGTGAAAGCAAGGAAGCAAATCATACTTGCTCTTCTCCCTCTCGTGAGTAAGGTCGAGGACCTCATCCACCTGGGGGCATTTGGACCGTTAGGTTACCTGCAGCGGGGAGGTCTGAGTGGTTGTGGCTTCGAAGGATGAAGTCCCCGACCCCGTCGGGGGCGGAATCACTTGCTCGCCCAGTCGGCTTTTTCAAATATTCTTGCCCATTTTCAGTTTCGCTTGGACATTCTTCACCATACGCTCATAGGCCGTAGACATCTTACCTGCAAAATAACGGGCACACGTTAGTAAACAGGAAAAATAACAATACAAATAAGCTAAGAAACAAATGACTACTCAAAAGTTCCAGAGCCTTCTCGCGAGTGCCACACTCGAGGAGCTCTTTCGTATTAATGTATCGGCTCTCCACCTTATGTTCCCCGTCTTCTTCATAAATAATTTCCCCGCTTCTGGTTACACACTGAGCAGGGAGAAAACCATCAACAAAGGCCACAAGCTTGCCATAGCTAGCCTGATCATCCTCCCTCAGCATGTGCGGATTGACAAGGTAATCATCGGTCCCCTAGGTAAAATGATCACCGCTCCAGCAGAAGGGGAACTTCAGCAACCTCTGCTCCTGTACCTTGCCATGCTCATCAATGACGGGCTCTCCGCTCTCGTCTGTCGAGACCTCCCAGACAAATGAGGAGTCTTTATCCCTCTCCGACACAGGATCAACTATGTAAAACCTCTCCTTAAACGTCCTGATGGACTCAGAGAAAGGCTTGAATAATTTCCTCCTCTACTTCAGAGAGACCCATCTGAACTGCCTCCCAACAACCTGGCGTTAGAGACGAAAGGCAATGAAGAAGAGGGCGAGAGTGGCTCCAATGTTAAAAAATTCACATGTTATCTCGAATGCCCGGGCGAAGGAAATCGAGTTCGGGTGCAGTTGGGAGGGCGCCAAATCTAGATGTTCGAAAACTGCCACTTGAAAGTCCGTGAATGGCAGCCTCAACCCGATCTCCTTGAAGATAAACTCGTACATGAGGAACTTCTTCCCGTAGGCCGAGCATATTCGCATGTTCTCCACAGGGAAGTGGACCCTCCAGTCTCCCTCGACCCCCACTGCCGTTAAGGCATCCTGGGTGTGAAAAGCGAAAAGGGAGACATGCTCCCGAGGCTCAGCGACAACCCACTCTTCCCTGGAACTACTAGGAGCAGATGTTTTGCCAGCACTCCGGGGAGCGAAAGCTTCATCAGCACTGCTACCCTTTGAAGAACTCTCCTCAGTCAATTCCCTCATAACTTCATCCTCGGGATCGTGAGACATCTTCTTTACCTAAAAAGCATAGGACAAAAGTGAATTCAATGACAAAGTCAAATCCATCCTTCCACCGCTAGTAAAGTGAATGGGCGCGCGAAGGCCTGAGGACAACCTCCCTGATCTAAGCCCTTACTCAAACAGCGCAACAACAGTGCGAGGAGACACCCCTGGCAATCCTTCAAACCCAAGCGGGGAGATCCTCCCCGATGTGTTTCCCATAATTCCGTTGAAGATCCACCAAAAAACTCATGAGTACACCAGAAAACGCATAAGCTCCACCGGCGACAAACTCACTCGTTGTCACAACAGTGTCAGAATCAACAAAAATCATAAGTTCCTAACACTCTAGCGATGGAGACGACGACAAAAAATGGCCTAACCACTGCCAACCACCAGCGTTCGCCGGAAACCACCCATACTCTACCCAGTTTCTTCCTAACCACCTACAATATAAGCGAAACAGGGATTGAAACACGTAAAACAAAAAGGGTGAAGAAAACTTACAGGGTCGAAGAGAAGAAAGGCTGGCCGACAGACTCTAGACGTTGCTTATGCGGCAGCATTGCGGTGGCATATGACGGAATCGAGGACAAGCAACAAGAGAAGAGAGAGAAGTGAAAAGTGAAAATGAACGCTTACTCCCTCTATTTATAGACCGACCAGAGGCACGAGCACGCACGACGTAGGGACATCATCATGACCATAACATAGTCATCATTACGCATTAAATGCAACACATGACTCGATGTGCACGTGGCACTCCATCCCTTCAAGTCCCATCAACCATTGAGCTCCCCGCTCGTCGGGCACGCATAGCAACATTTCGGGTTCCCAGGACACAGGTGCCTTCGAGCACCACGAAACGACCTCATCTCAATAATAGGCGTCGACCACGTCTACTCCTCCTCAGGACCGCGAGTTGCCCTTAAGTCATCACTCATATGCTCAAGAGTAATGACTTGAGGGCTCCTGTTCCGTACTGGCTCAATGGCTAGCCATGATCCAATCCCCTTCTGCTCCCAGAACGGTCTAATAGCCTAAGCCTTGCTAGTTAAGGGCAAAGGGAAGTATTTTCTCCTCTACCCCTCTGCTGAGGAAGGCTGGTCAGCTGACCCTAGAATCAGCTGACCCTCGTCGCATTTCTATCCGTCACGCACGGTTCCACCATCCATAAACAGTCACGACGCCCGTGTCCGCGACCACACCCTTGCCTACGACAACGTCTAGTTCCGAGCACCTCTGCCCGTCCCAACGACTAGTTTTTGGCAGTTACATATTCTTTGGGAGCGAATATCTCGCTTCGAAAATATGGATCAATGGCCAATCGTAGGAGTATTATAAAACCCTCTCATTTGAAAGGGTCAGGTATTCAAAATTATTCTAAAATCATCTTAAGACATACTCACTTTGTACTTACCTTCTCTTCTCTCGATTCTTACTTTAACATCAGAGTGCCTTGCAGCTACACCCCTTCCCTATCTTTGAAACTCAACATCGCAGACAAGGTCTTTGACCCACTTCAGGTTTTGAATAGCCGGTAAGAACAATATATAAAATCAAATTAATTTATAAATTTAACGAGTTAAAATATACATGGTTTGAGTTCGATTTATTTAACTAAAAACTAATTTAATTCATGAACCAAATTTAACCATTTAATTTTCAATTCGAATTTCAAATTATATTAATCATTATCAATTCTATATAAATACATTTTTTATTTTAAAAGTAATTAACCCATATATCATTTAGAATTCTAAATACCTTTTTATTTTAAGGGTAATGCTAACTTGTGCTCCAAGGGCACAAGTTAAGAGACACACTTATAATAAATTTGTATTGAAAAAAATAATTTAAAAAATGATTTTATACTTTAATTAAAGTTTGTACATAATTTTCAAAAAAATATTTCTTAATTTAGTTCTTAACTTGTCCTCTTGGGGCACAAGTTAGCATTACTTTTATTTTAAAAGTAATTAACCCATATATCATTTAGAATTCTAAATACCTTTTTATTTTAAGGGTAATGCTAACTTGTGCCCAATGGCACAAGTTAAGAGACACCCTTATAATAAATTTATATTGAAAAAAATAATTTAATATTTTAATTAAAATTTATACATAATTTTCAAAAAATTATTTTTTAATTTAGTTCTTTACTTTTTAAAATATTTTAAAAGTAATTAACCCTTATATCATTTAGAATTCTAGTTATATTTTCCAATCCAACTCAACGTATAAGTGAAAAGGTAGCGTTGCGTGCGTCAAAGCACAACAAAAACAAACTTGATTCAGATTAAACAAAACATAAAGTTGTGTTTAGGTTTGGTAAAAAAAACAGATTGTGTTTTGGTTCATCGAGTTGAGGCAACTAAGGCCTAGATCAACTCTATGGCTTCCTTCACCAAATCACTCCTTCTTTTTCTTTTCATTCAATTTACCTTCTCACTTTTTCCCTCATCAATCGCTCAATCCCCTGCTTCAGGGTATCAATTTTACTTTCCATAAACCCTAATTTCAATTTTTTTTTCTGTAATCAAGTTTTCGATTGCATCGGTTTATTCACCTTAATTTTAACTTTTACAGGTCTTCTGAAGGGTACACTATTTATGGCCGAGTGAAGATCCCTAGTAAGTTCTCATACATCTATCATCATCATATCAATTTCCCCAATTTTTTTATTTTTTATTTTTAAATTTATATCCCAATTATTAATTGGTGTTTCATGTGAATTTCTATCAAAGTCTAGATTAGTGAAAAGTATTGAACTTCGATCTATAAACTAAGCTTTAAATTCTATAGGATAGTGCTCAAAGTTATTATTTTAAAGTTTTTGCCAGGTTATATTTTGATTTGTAAGATTAGATATTTTGATTTCTTCAACCATGCTTTAATGCACTGTTGTTTTATTCATATGCCTTGTGCAATGTTTTGTTTCTATGCTCATTGTGTCAACAAACTAAGATTATGATTGGTTTCTATTTTCACTTTTAATTACAAAAACAGCACTTTGGTTTCATTTAATTTCCAGTTTCAATTTATTTATATAGGAAGCAGTGTCTATACTATCTTGTCCTTGATTAGGTTTATCTGGTGGTGTTGTTTTTGTCAAGTTCAGCAAGGTTGGTGGGAAGTTAGTGACTTAGTTATCCGCTATGAAGCACGGACACCTCTAGGCGTAGGCGTGTCGCGGTGTCCGACACTTGTATAACACCCATACGACACGTGTCGGAAAAGTCAAAGGAGTGTCAGAAAAGTCAGACAAGTGTCCTCCAGAAAAATGCGTATATTCTTTGATTCGGCACTCTTTGAATTGTGTTCGACACATATGGCTCATACAACACATGTCGAACAATATATACAAGTGTTATATAAAAAAAGTGTTTTCTTTCTTTGTTTCAACATGCCTTATACATTTTTTGAACAAATCTCACGGATCAAAAAGGGTTAAACATAGATCAAAAAGGGTTAAATATGTATTGAAGCAAAGTTATTAATTAAGAATTAAAGACGATAATTTTGATTAAAATATTTTTAACTTTTTAAATAATAGATGGATAAATGAAACTCAAATACTATCATATATGTAGCGGTGTCGGTATCTTATATTTTTTACATCATCGGTGTCGGAGTGTTGTGTCCGTGTCGGAGTCCGTGCTTCATAAGTTATTCAGGGATTGAAATGTCTAAATTTGATTCTTTATTATCCATAATCCTGTACTTCCTGTTGCACGTCTATTTTCTGGGTATACATGGATTTGTTATAAATATTGGTTGTATAATGGTATTGCTGGTTTCTTTTGGCAGGTTTTGGAACAAAAGAGTTCAGCCTTCCTGGAAAAGTTTCAAATGTCAAAGTGATACTTAATGGTGGTCAAAGAGTTTCTTTTCTGAGGCCCGATGGATATTTCTCATTGTATCCTTTGATTTACAAGTTACGACTTTGTGTCAACCTCCTCTTAATTTGCAAGATGACTTTTTTGAGATATTAAGCCCCATTTTATTCTATATTTGCTTATCTTCTTTTTCTAGCTTTTGAGTGGAATGTTACAGTTAATTTTAGTAAATCATTGTTAAGAATAAGTTCCTTAACGTGTATGCTTTAAGCCACAATGTACCTGCAGGGACTCATTTAATTGAAGTGGCGGCAACAGGCTATTTCTTTTCTCCCGTGAGTACTCAATTTGGAATTTACATCTATAATTTTCCCAATTTTCTTGTTTTCCTATGGGTGCTCATGTATTAAATTATTGTTCTCATTAAAAAAAGGTACGAGTTGACGTTAGTGCCAGAAACCCTGGCAAAATTCAGGCAGCGCTGACAGAAAATAGGAGGGGGCTCAGTGAGTTTGTCTTAGAGCCATTGAAGGATGAACAATATTATGAGGTTGGTTTCGAAAAAAACTTTCTTTTGTATTCCCCTCCACTCCACATTCCTTAAGATTATTATCTGAATGTCTGCTTGCTGTCATCTTGTTTTGCTACAGATTAGGGAGCCATTTTCTGTTATGTCCATTGTGAAGAGTCCAATGGGTCTGATGATGGGATTTATGTTGATTGTTGTCTTCCTTATGCCCAAATTGATGGAGAACATGGGTATGCTTTCTAAAGTTTATATAAGAACTTCTTTCATTTCCATCCGAGTTTATCTCATTTTTTCTGATAGAATTTTATTAGACTAGTCTTATCCCATAGCATCAGTTTATGTTTCGAAGCATACGTCAAAATATTAAAGTCAGTCAAAATTGTTGAACAAGTGACTCCAAATACCTGAGGGAATATAAAAAAAATTGTTTTTGAAGTGTTAAGAAAAACGATTTTAGTCGAAAAATTTGAAGGTGAATAAGATATAGATCATAGCAAGAGATAAGAATACTAAAAGTATAAGAGATTAGGGATAAAAAAGATCACACTAGAGTTTATACTGATTCGACCCAAAACCACTTGGCGTATGTGCATTCCGCAAGGATAGCACCTTAAGATATTATTATAACAAAGCTTTTAATTCAAGTTCAACTTACAACCTTAACACCTTACAAGCATTTTTTAAACAAGAGTCTTAATTTCAAGAAATGTTGCCTCTTTTGATTTATAATAAGATCACACTCAAAAAGGATAAGGAATTATATAGGATAACACTTCGCATCACACCTGGATGAATCATGAAACAATTTGAGCCTTATAAGAAATTACAAAAGATAACAACACCTCACGTGTGGATGAAGCAATTTGAACGTTAAGGGTTACAATAGTAAGTATATAGTAGATGCGCTCTCGGAAATAAAATATAAAACATACTACGTAAATAAAAAATATTTGAAGCAGCATATTAGAGAGGAAAAAGGACTGTTAGAGATTATTTCAGTCAAAAGGTATGATTTGCAACAATCTTAAGGGCCCTTTATATAGATGAAGTGACATAATTATCAAATTAAGCGGCAATCATGATTTTGATATGTAACAATGTCCGTAATCAATTATTTGAAAGGGTTTTAGGAAATGTTGGACCAGATATGCATTAATCGATTATACAAAAGTATTAATCAATTATTGAGTTAATAAACGGAGTTAATCGAGTATGATGAGACCCATAATTGATTATGGGGCTTATTTAAAGACACGTAGGAGGCTTTTGCACTCATAATTGATTATCTATTTCCTCAAATCATTTTCTTTGAAAATGGTTTTGAAATATTAAAATGTTACGAAAATATTTGTGTGTGTGTGTTTTAATAAATCGGCCACTGAGTCCGTCTGAAGAAGCAATGGTGCCTTTTGAAGGTATCCAAAATGGTGATAACCGAGCGTCTTGGGGTACCTTCTGAAAGCACCATGGCTTTCTTGAGACGGACTTTATGACGAACGAAAAGATTTATTCAATCTGGTCATTGCTAACTCAATCTTTCTTGACTGACTCTCTGATAGTAGTCTCAATTGTCTCACATCTCTAACTTCAAAAATCATAAAATTCATGAACTTTGAATGTGTTGATTGCTTTACTTGTTAGAACGACAATCTTCTCTCCATCCTTTTCCTTTTTTATGGGGGTCTCGATAATTTTTTTCCCTTCTGTGAAAGTGTTAATTGTCTCACTGCCTGAAAATTATCCTTAGCAGCATCCCACCAAGTCCAAATTTGGAGTATTGGTTTGATGATGACCTCATCTTTGTCCATTTTACTTTTACATGTCTTAGTTACACACCTTCATAAGTATGCAATACTACATAGAAGCCAGAGTGGCTCTGTTTGTATGTGCTTTCTTGTTGCTCCATATTATTGCGTGATGAAATGACATCCATCATCTGAGAAACAATCTGAGTGACAGTTGTTAGACCTTAATGCTCATTATTGCAGCACTCTTTGCATAATTGGTGTACTCATAGCTTCACTGTATTTGTGTTGCAACAGATCCAGAAGAAATGAAACGTGCCCAAGAAGAAATGAGAAGTCAAGGAGTTCCATCTCTAGCAAACTTGTTACCTGGTGCTGCAAGAGGGAACTAGTTGTACAAGTAATGATGAGAACCAGTGGGCACTTTGGTTTTCCTGAGCAGAAGCTTAAGATGTATTATGAAGTACCATGATTAGAGAATTTTGTTATGACAAATTGGTGCAGAGAAAAATCTTTGATTATTTAAGTTGTTCAATAGTTGAATTTGAAATTGCTGATAGAGATGTTAGCATGTTTAATATAATCAGATATGAATAGGGTTCCATTCCATGTAACTTGGGTCACTTTCTTCAATGTTGATAACCATGCACGGCCAATATGGATCATATGTTTTGGGTGGCTTGCAGAAACTTTTGTATGATTTCTTCATTCGGTCCTCTTGCTTGAATTGGAAAGAGACATAGATAAATACTAGTTAGTAGATTCCACTATCAAATGAGTTTTCATTGTCAAAGATTAGTTAGTAGATTCCATTATCAAATGAGTTTCATTAATAATAAATGTATGTTTGGTTTAGTTTTTGGAAGAGTAAAAAAATTCTAGAGTTAAATTTTTTTTAGAGATGTAGAATTGATTTTTCAAATGATTTTGAGGTGTTTGATTCTTTTAAGAGAAAAAAGAATATGCATTGACAATGGAAAATATTTTTACACTGATAATTAGTGAGATATGTGTATTTTGTTATATTACATTTTTATTTTTAAAATACTAATATGACATGGAAAATTTAAGAATTTTGATTAGTTTAATGTATAATGTTGTTTTCCACAGTCGGCTTTAAACTATTCTTTTAAAGTAGAATTGATTTTATATGCAAAATTGATTTTACTTGAAACTATAATTTATAATTTTTGAGTTTAAATGTGTTTTTTATGATAAAATTTATTGTTCAACCTGTTTTTATGTATAAATATATTCAAAATAATTAATTTTATATTTAACTCATTTTTTATTGGAATTAATTTTATAAAAACAATTTACTCAATTAATTCTCATCACCACATAATCAAACAAATTAATTATTTTTAAACTCAATGAAAAATGTTAAGAAACTTAAACACAGACACACACGCACACACGCATGTAACGCCCGTTTTACTTCGATTAAATTCAATTATGACTTTGCTATGTCTCGTTGCGTCGTAGTCGTAGTTGAGTATGTGTTTGGAGCGAAGAAAGGAATTGAATCGGTCGAATTGTCGGAAAAATTCTGGTTTTGTTAGAAAACTTCGAAAATTCATATCTCTTGATCTGTAAGTCGGATTTGACCCCCGTTCGAAGTGTTGGAAAGCTAAAAAGATGTTCTATCTGGAAAAAAAATGAAATTTTGCTGCTATGACGACCGTCATAGGAGTGTGACGACCGTCACACGAGCGAAAACTGCAGTTATGCAGAATTTGAACGTGTTCTGGTGGAATGAGATTTTGTAGCAAAAATATATTCCCGTAGACTCTTTTACCCTCAATTACATCATTTTTGGGAAAGGAAAGACGGAAAAGAGAAGTTACGCATTGAGAGAAGTGGAGAGCGAAGAATCATCCATCGGCGAATTCGGAAGATTTCTGCAGAGAAATCACCGTAGAGCAGAAGCGGAATCGGAAAGCGTGGAATTGGCCTCAATTCTAAGGTAAGGGTGGGGTTCAATTCTATAACCGGGAGTATGATCGAATTCATGTAGGGAATCGAGTCATAGGTATAGTTTTCGTTAATCGATAAATATTAAGGAAAAAGTTTCCCTAATGGGACAAGATTTCTATGTAGGAATGAATGTGTTATGTAGTTATTAATGCGATGCTCTAAGGTTTTCCTTATGGGCAAATACGTAGAACGAATATGCTATACGGTTATTCGTACAACGCTCTAATGGTTTTCCCTAATGGGCCAAAAAGGGCAGTTACCTGGTTGTGATTGATTTGTAATTAATTGTGTGAGAAAACGCCGTAATGTTGTTATTACGATAATATGCTGAATTCTTAATTGTTGATACGATGTCGTAATGTTCCTTTACATGAATAGTTGGGATGATGAACATATGATGCATATGAAATAACAATGTTTTGTTATGGACGTTTTGTTGTAGGCTTGATGCCTTGTTGCATAGTCGGTGATGTTGTGGTCCATAATAGAGGTATTTCATGGCATATCATATTAGCGATGACCTGTATTGGCGGCCCTTAGTGGCAAATTCTGCGATGGCCTGTATTGGCGGCCCTTAGTGGCAAATTCTGCGATGGCCTGTATTGGCGGCGTTGATGGCAAATTGGTACCACATGCATATGCACAGTTGAGTCGCATTGTTGAGTCACATGAAGTTGCATAATTATGTTAGTTGTATATTAATGTTGTTTTACGTGAGATATGGATTGTTGCAGTTGTTGTCGATGATGTTTATGATTTCGAAACTTATAATGCTGTGATGAGTTTCTGGCATGTTTTCTATCATGCTCTATGTTATATTATTGATATCTCACCCTTTTCCGTTGTATGTTACCTCCTCTGGTGGTAATTTGCAGGTAGTCAGGAATAGAGCGTAGTTCCCATTAAGGTGTCGTT